GATGTGGTCTATCCAATGCAATTTTCTGAATCAGCACTACAAATAACCAAACCGAATCTAAAGTTGACCAAAAATTAATTCGTAACCCTTTTGGTACTAATGTTGGAGAGTGGTCCCTAATAAAAAAAAAGCTTAGGAACTACTGATCTATTCTCATATCAAGAAAAGAAGATTAAACAGGAAGAAGAGATTCGAAGCTAGAAATATCAGAAAGACTGTTTCACACTAGCATCCTAAAGTGGAGGCGCCCACTTTGCTGTTGCCTGATTTGCTTCTGCAGAATACTGGAAAATGCAGTTTAGCGCAGGGCCTTTGCCAGAGAGGTCCTCAGTTTCCCTAAACTACATTTCCCAGTATTCTGCAGGAGCAAATCAGACGATAGAAAGCAGACAGTTCCACTTTGGAAAGCAAATGTGGTATCATCCCAGCAATGGCTTCATGGTATACTCACATGCAACAGCAAAACAGCAGCAAGAAAGGAATGTCCTTGACAATAACCAATTTCTTCATCATATACCGAATATGCCTGCAACACAAAGAAAACAATGATTACAGCAATTAATTAATACATTTTATAGTTACAAATGGAAGTGTACAATATAGATCCATGGACCTTTGATTTGTTCTCCTAGGAATACAATTGCCCCCATCATTATCATATTAGTATTATATCCTATGATGGAAGCACAATTGATGGGGAAGTGAAAGAGGGATTTCCAGTAGCTGCACCGAGATGCTGACCTACCTTTGCAAAGCAGCCTGAATTGTTTCTCCCTACTGTTCTTCCATTGCTAATCCAATACCTTTTTATTCCTGTTTTCAAAGAATTACTTGAGGCCCGTTCCACACAGCTGAATAAAATCCCACATTATCTGCTTTGAACAGGAATATACGGTGGTGTAGACTGAGAAAACCCAGTTCAAAGCAGATATTGTGGGATTTTCCGCCTTGATATTCTGGGTTATATTGCCATGTGGAAGGGATCTGAGTGTGCCATACTTTTTAAACATGAACTGTTTAATTCTTTTGATCAACAAACTCAACTAAACTGTAACACTGCTGTCAATAATACTAAATTGAGTTATTTCAGCCACTTCTATACTGACATAATACAATACACAATTGTCAATTGTATATTTTTAGACCCATTTTCCTTCTCCAGATCATACTAAAAAGTCACTTTGTAATCACATGTTCAAGCTCAGAAAACTTCTATTTCTGAGAGAGTTGTTCATAAACATTGCTGGAGTTGGTTATAAGGCATAGTTGGAGAGTAAAGAAAATGAAGGCTGCTTCTATTGCTTGGAAAAAAACCATCAGTTTCACAATTGCATGACTCAAGGAACACAGAATGACTGCTGGATTAATGTGTAGTTGACTTGCAACTGTTCACCGGTTGCCTGGATATTCCAAATTATCACTATGAAATACTAGATCCATCTCAAGAGGGGAGAGCAGCAATTTAATATATACAGTGTGATATATATGTAATATATACATATGAAGGTGTGATTTCATGTTGTATTGAATGAAAGCAGTAAAAGACAAACTATCATTTTGGGGAGTGATATTCACGGCTTTTCTGCACCCCTAACACCCTTGTAAGTGGAGAGCCAATGGTACCATAAAGCATGAATAAAGAGACACAGCTATGTTTTTTTATTAAGGCATTTATACTCTCCTTCTGCTCAGCTATACCTATAACAACATGAAGAAGCATTTTCCCACAATCTATCATTGTCAAACGCAAAAGACTGATGATGATAATGGACATGTAGGCGGAGGAGGAAGATTGCACTAATGCACTAAATGTGATATTTCCTCAGCCAGAACTGTATTTCCCAGTTTAAAATTTAAAAATGTATCTTTTCCATTAACATCCCAGCAGTGCAATTATTTCAAGTTCTGAATGTATTTGACAGCTGTTCGTTTCTTCAGTCACACAACAGTGTTCCTTTTGATAATTCTGTCATCATCCATAATTCTGTACTGACAATAATTTATCCCACATGAACATACAGCAAAGAAAAAATAACGCCATCTTTTACCGTTTTCAAGCAATCAGGTAAGAGGAAATAGTTACTTTTCATATATCTGAACATCTGAATCTCTTATCATATCATACATCGGAACATCTGAATCTCTTGAAAAAATTCTCAGAAGAAAAGTTACTTAGCTTTTCTCACTTTAAACATTTGTTTAAAGTAAGAGAGCCTCACTCTGATCAACAATTGCATATGTTTTCTGACAAGCTCTAAAAAAAATCTAGCTGAAATATATTAAATCCCTTTTACTTCGAAGTAAAAATAGAAATTGGAGAGATTTTTTGAAGGGATGCTCTTGTAAAAGCATAATAATGGGTACTGGCATTTCATTATTACAAAGGGAAGATACATGAATTATTTATTTATTATTTATTTATTTAAAACATTTATATTCTGCCCTTCTCACCCCGAAGGGGACTCAGCGCGGAGCACAGGATATATACGGCAAACATTCAATGCCAGGACACAAATTCTTATATACATTCATAAACATTAAAAACATTTATCAAAATATTAAAATACACCATTTAAAACCGCCCTAGTCATCCACATCAAATCTAATTGGCCTGGTAATCTTTCCTATTGCTGCTTTACTGCCCTGTCCCGAAAGCTTGGTCCCACAGCCAAGTTTTACCATCCTTCTAAAGGACAAGAGGGAGAGGCCAATCTGATCTCACCAGGAAGGGAGTTCCATAGCTGGGGAGCAATCACCGAAAAGGCCCTGTCTCTCGCCTGTGACAATGGCGGGATGGAAAGCAGAGCCTCCCCGGAGGATCTTAATATCTGCGATGGTTAATAAGGAGAGATGCGTTCGGACAGGTAATTTGGGCTTTATAGGCCAAAGTCAGCACTTTGAATTGTGCCTGGTAGCAAACCGGCAGCCAGTGGAGTTGGTGTAACATGGGAGATGTATGCTCCCTGTATGCCGCCCCAGTTATTAACCTGGCTGCCTCTCCTTGGACTATTTGAAGCTTCCGAGCAGTCTTCAAAGGCAACCCCAGGTAGAGTGCGTTGCAGTAGTCTATCCTAGATGTAACGAGAGCGTAGACCACCGTGGCCAAGTCTGACTTCCCAAGGCGCACAAGTTTTAATTGTGCGAAAGCTCCCCTGGCCACCGCTGCAACCTGAATGAACCATTTTCCTCAACACTTTGTACTCTTTCATACAATGCTATGGCTGCACACTGTGAGATCCTGGGATTTGATGAAGCATCAAAATTGCATGGTAGAGATTTTAAACACTCAATGAAATTACGTATCCCATGATTCTATAGGACACAGTCATGACCACTCAAGTGGTATCAAAGTGTTATAACTATGTGATGTGAAAAGAGCCAAAGACAGAAGCTTCCTTCAAGAAAAAAGGAAATAAAACTTTTATATGGTTATTAAATTTACTAAGTAATGGAGGACACCTTTTATACTGCTATTTTCCATGAAATATCAGTATAAATTTTGTTTCAAAAATGGCACTAGCAAAACTATACAACAAGGGTTTGGTGGGCGTTGACCTTGAGTTGGGAGATGTAGTTCACCTACATCCAGAGAGCACTGTGGACTCAAACAATGATGGATATGGACCACACTTGGCACAAATCCTCAATATGGCCAAATGTGAACACTGGTGGAGTTTGGGGAAAAAAGACCTTGACAAATTGACACCAAATTTGGATAGCATACACCTAACAATCCAATGTATGTCCTTCACTCAATTTTTTTTTATTTTGTCATTTGGGAGTTGAAGTTGCTGGGATTTATAGTTCACCTACAATCAAAGAGCATTATTAACCCCACTAATGATAGAATCGGGCCAAACTTCCAGCAGAACCCCCATGGCCAATAGAAAATACTGTGTTTTCTGAAGGTCTTTGGCGATCCCTCTGACATCCCCCTTGCGACCAACCCCCCCCCAGGGGTCCTGACCCCCAGGTTGAGAAATGCTGGTTTAGAGGCTGTTTTGGCATTAAAAAATTTTAATGCGGAGGGAATATAGTCAGATAAGTGTGATTTGAGTTAAAAGCTCAGACATGGAACAAATTAAACTCTTTAACTCAAGGTATCACTGTATTCCCCAGAGATGCCCTCCTATGATGAACGTCAGGTGGGTTTTAAACCCAAGATAAGAGTAAGTATACTTCCTTAATTGGGGAACTCCAAACTGTCCTCTATTATCTGCCTGAACATTGCAGTACAAACAGTGGGGGAAATAAGGGAAGAACAGAGCTAACCAAGTGGCCATGTGTCATGGAAAGGATGGACTCTAAACTGAAGGGAGAAATGACATTTAAAGCAGTGGTTCTCAACCTTCCTAAGGTCACAACCCCTTAATACTGTTCCTCATGTTGTGGTGACCCCCAACCATGAAATTATTTTTGTTGCTACTCATAACTGTAATTTTGCTATTGTTATGAATCGTAATGTAAATATCTGATATGCAGGATGTATTTTCATTCACTGGACCATATGTGGCACAAATACCCAATAGGCCCAAATCTGAATACTGGTAGGGTTGGTGGGGGTTGATTCTGTGATTTGGGAGTTGTAGTTGCTGGGATTTAGAGTTTACCTACAATCAAAGAGCATTCTGAATTCCACCAGCAATAGAATTGAATCAAACTTGGCTCACAGAACTCCCACGGCTAACAGAAAATACTGGAAGGGTTTGGTGGGCATTGACCTTGTTTTGGAGTTGCACTGTGGACTTAAACAATGATAGATCTGGACCAAACTTGGCACGAATACTGAACATGCCCAAATGTGAACACTGGTGGAGTTTGGGAAAAAGAGACCTAGACATTTGGGAATTTTATTGCTGGGATTTATAGTTCACCTACAATCAAAGAGTATTCTGGCCCCCTACCAATGATAGAATTGGGCCAAATTTCCCACATCGAACCCCCATGACCATAAGAAAATACTGTGCTTTCTGATGTTCTTTGGTGACCCCTCTGACACCCCCCTCGTGACCCCCCCAGGGGTCCCGACCCCCAGGTTAAGAAACACTGATTTTAAAGCAATCCTGATTGGCTATCACTGCTTTCTGGGGCAGAGAAGGAAAGTTAATTACCCTCCTCCACTGTTTGGAAATATCTAGTTTTGAAACAGTATTGCATTGAGTGCAATATGCTTTCGCACAAACGAACGCTGTAAATAGACAATGCTATGACAATGTCTTTTTTCAATTCAATACACGAACACAAGGTCATTCTTCAAAAACATATAGAAGTTTGAGCTGTCATACTGGTCTTGTCTCATCCAGAATAATTGAGTTCATTTTGACGGATTTGTAGGCACCTGTCCATCAAAGCCTTCTTTTCATCACCCCTGTTATATCACATGAGAGTGAAAGCTTCAGATGCATAAGATGACCTTTACATTTTTGAAATATTCCAGAAACAAATGAACTGCCTGTCATTTAACTGAAATATCACAGAGGCTCAGCTCAGACAGCTTAAACAATGGCTTGGCTAAGTTTAGAAACC